CTCGATGCAGCTCTCTCGGAAGAGGGAGGAAGGAGAGGAGGAGGGTTGATCCCATAAGAGAGGGCGAGGAGCTTTTCTTATGAGGAGCATTGATTGCCAACAACCCCTTACCCGCCTGTGTTTCTCTTGAAACGGTCCAACCTCCTTTATCCTATCACTCTTTCGACCCTGTGCAAACCCCCTCCCCCTATTCCTCACTGTGTCTCGTGTCATGGCACCTCGCCTCGGTTCTTAGGGACGTGGGTCTTTCTTCTTTCTTGAAAAGTCGTTTTTAAGAAGAAGAAATCAACGATTCAACGCGGTTTCCAGAGATGAGAAATTGTTTGATACAGAGATATCGCTAAGAGTACAGGTCGTTTGGGAGATCAATTTACTTTAATCGTATTATTTCGGGTGTCTTTACTTTTTTTTTTCTTTATTATTCAATGTTTCAATGAGGAGATCGATTAGCGAAGAATTATTTAGTTGTCGATTTATCAAAAATGAGATATCTTGCAATAAATGTATAAAATTCGAATTATATGTCGTATTCCGGATAATTGAGAATTAAGAGAACGAATTTTGAAATTTTTAAATTTCATTTCTTCTCAAAGCAGTTTGAATCTATTCAATTTTCCGTTTTATTGAGAGAAATAATGTTTTATTGTTGCGCATTGAATGTATTTTGTATTATGCATAATTTTATTTATTCGACGAAGAAACCACCCACGTTGAACGTGTAACCGTTTGCTTACCAAGTTTCAAACTGATTACGAATACATCGGCGGATACATGTTGTCGATCAATCCCTTCCTTTGTACACCGCGTGTAATTCAACGCTCAATTGCTATTAGATGTTAGTACTCCAGTAAATCTCTCTGATAGGTTCACTATAGCCTTTGATCACTCGGTACAGAATTGATTCAGGGATCCCTTAAGTGAACACCTGATCCTTCCCGGCATACCACGCCGACTGGATCGTGAAAATTTTAGTTTGCCCGATCGAACAGATTATAAAACTTCTAGGAAATCTTCATCGATCGTCATTTATAAATGGAATTTTCCAACGAGATACGATTACCGTTTCCTCGGGAAAATAAGTAATGATGGATAAGTAGTCGAACGTAATTACGGGACAATTATGATTACATTATATTTCCTTCGTTGATTTTTCGAAATTTCTTATTTTCTATATTAATATTATAATCGTTTCGATTTGTTAAAATTATTATTATTATTAATAAAAAGATAAAATAATTATTATAAATATTATTATTATAATAATAAAATTATTATTATTTAAAAGAAAAAATAAAGTTATGGATCGTTTCTAAAATGAGAATTTTTTAAGAACTGCATCGAAATAAATCAAAATGAAATTTTTCCTACTTGAACTTTCCAATTTTTCCGAATTAACTTCGTAAGAAGAATTAAATAGGTATTGTTATAAATTGAAAATTCGAAGAGGGAAAGAAGATTTAGCGGTATTAAAAAGTTTCTTGTAAAAATTATTTGACAAACTTTCGACAAAATCTTAATTAACAATAACATAGTAATTTTTCTCGTATTATATTTAAAATATAAAAGAAAATTAATTGAAAAAAATTCACGTGAAAGATGATACGAGGAGACAAATTTTTACAGGAGACGGGAGATTCTTCTTTTTTTTTTTTTTTTTTTTTTTTTTTCCATTTAATTGCATTAAACACACGTTTTATCACGAGAGAACAAGTTTATTCGAATAATTCACTACCCACATTTCAGGCTACATAATAGTTGCTAGTTTGTAACATATTGTTTATTAGATTATCCTTGATTAGCACTGACAATTCACCGGGATTTAATATACAGGTCTCTACTAGTATCTACGTGTCTTTTTTTTTTTTTCTTTTTTTCATTTTTTTTTTTTTTTT